AAGTCTACAATTTTACATTTCTCTATTATCATTTCTACCTCTCCTACTGTCCTTCTCTGTCTAGATCTGTGATTCTCAAGGATGCTTTTCATTCTGTGAGGATGGCTGAGGGCCTCTAGGCCAGCATATCCATGTGACCCTTTCCCAGCTTTCCTGGTTCTGCTAGATGCCCTGGCCAGCAGGGTGTCAACGGGGGCGACCCACCTGTGGGAGAGAATGAAAGGGATGGGAGACGAGAAGGAAGACAGCAAGACAGGGTTCTGATCAAGCTGCAAATTTTATTTTTCTCAGCAAGGCTTATATAGCATGGGAGGGGGAGGGGGCAGGAAGGAGGAGAGGGGTGCAGGCCATGCAAGACGTGTGGGTCATGAAGCTGCAGGATGTTGAGCTAGGTGATAAGGTCACTGGTCAGGGCCCATTGTTCTGTTGCTATGCTACCTGACCATGGGATGTTCTTAATCTTTGGGGGCATCTGGTTTAGGGCCTGTGGCTTGTTCTCTGGCCTAGCTAGTACTTTTCCATGGTTCATGTTTGGTCCCTGACAACTAGACTCATTCAAACCCTCAATTTTGCTCAGCTGTTTTCTTCATTCTGCTGTACTCACATCTTGGAGAGACATACCATCTTCCAGCATGGCCTCCTTTGTGCCTTTTTGTCCTTCTCCTCCAAGCTGTTTCTTCTCCTAGAGCTTCTCAATTTTGACTCACCGGTTAACACTATGAATTCCATTTGGTGGCCACACTGTCACCAGGTGTGACCAGAAAGTTTTACTCTTAAAGAGCTGTATTAAAACTAAGATCAAGATCAGGGTTCTCTCCTCTGACAAGCAGTCATTACACGTTTTCTTTTTTTCCTCCTGTTTTATATCTAAACTTCAGTGCTAACTGATGAAAGAGACAGGTAGCTTTGTCTGACCAGGTTGTTCTCCAATGTCATGAATGGGAAGAAAGCACAAAGTTAAGGCATGTTCATTCATAAATGTACAAGGTCAGCTTATTCTTCAAAATGACACCACTTGTCAATTGGAGTCCCCTCTCCAGAGGCTGCTTTTGAGGACTAAGTCCTTTTACCATGGCTCTGGGAAAGTCGGCAGGCCAAGGTGGCTCACAGGCTGGTGATAGAACTAGTCTGGAAAGACCAAGTGTGCTTACTTTGTGAGACTGGAAGGACTTGCCTTTTCAACCAAGCTGCTTCCAAGAGACGCACTGGTAATTGGAATCTGGGGTTTTCTACAGGACACAGTGCTGTCCACCTTTTCAAGGTTCTAGTCTAGTTCTAATTATTATGAACTAGTACTAGGATTTATAGAAGGGATGATACAATTTAATTGTATGCAAACTTAAAAACTTGAAAATAGTGTGGCCGGAGAGGTGACTCAGCGATTAAGAGCATGTGCCACTCTTCCAGAGGACCCACGTTCGGTTCCCAACACCCAAATGGTGTCTCATGTGCACCTCTAACTCTAGCTTCAGGGGGTCTGATACCTTCCGCTGACTTTTGGAAGCCAGGCATGTACATGGTGACACATACATTTATGAAGGCAAAATATGAAGGCAAAAATTATGAAAGCAAAATAAAAGTAAAAAAAAAAACACTAAAAATTGAAAATATAAAGGAACTGTATGATGTGTAGGAAGGCATCACTAATTAGAACATTATCAAATGATCCTACTTTGGCTACATTTCATTTTTGCACTAGCTATTAAAGAAAGGTTTACTAGTAAAAAATGCATCAACAGACACAAGGAGATTTGAGTATTTTCTTAAGAAGACACAGTGGTTTGAAATACCTAAGTAATATCAATTTGAGTATTTTTTTTTTTTTTTACTACACTGCTGTATATCTTGACTCTTTCTGGCAAGATTCACTCTACGTTTATTTGAAACTATTCTGTATTTCTACCTTTCTATCTCATGTTGCTAAGACTTTGCGGTATTTTGTCATTTTTAGGAGGGGTGTTTCTGCAGTTCTCGGTTTCGCTTACACTGTAGACTCTTCTCCATAGTGAGAAATAGCTGGCAAGTGTGTAAAAGAAAGGGTGCAAAAGATCCCAGCAGCAAGACACTAGGATCCGATTCCTGGCATGAGGCTGACGAAGGCAATCTGATTGAGCAAGTCGCTAATGGGGCGAATCAAAAGCTTGTCAGCAGAGCTAGGGTTTGGACTGTACTCGGTCACTACCCTCGACTGAGGAGTCTACAGTGTCTCTAATCCCCTGTGCTTCTCCTCTAGGCTGATCCTTGTATCATGTTAAACACCCTGGGCCATGTTCCCAGAAGGTTACATTGGCCTTATGAGTAACACACTGCCTGGCAAAAGACCATTCTTCATAGTCCATCAACATACAGTCAGTAAATCTAAGGTCATAAGTGATTATGAGGGACCTATAACCCTTTGAGTAAACATCGTTAAGTGTGGATCAAAGTATCTTAGACTTCTCTTGTATTGTGTGGCACTCAGTGAGAACTTTCAGTCCTTGAATCACGTGTGGCTTTATGGGTGGTGGTTTTAGGTGGGCGAGGAATGGGCTTGGGATTTTAAGATGTCCATCTTCAGGTTTGGGCACCTCCTGCTCTCTCTCTACCTTGGGTTCTTTGTATAATTATAATTGAAATTCCTTTGGTTCCAAAATGGTGCTCCAACTTTACGATCCATCGGAAATGTTAACATTGCTAAACTCCCGCTCTGTTTCCAGGTGAAACTATCGGACAAAGCTATACAGTGCCGCCAAGGCTCTGGGAGAAATGCAAGGTGTTCATGCTGGAAAAGCAGTCACTCATTAAAGAGAGTCCTAGCGGAGTGACCGTAATGAGCTGTGGATTTTTCTAGTCGTCTGCTCCCTGTCTGATGATAACAGGACACCTTTTTCTAAACAGTCCACAGTGGAAGTTTGCACTTAAGTCGCATGTTCTTTTCTTCTCTACCTGGCTTACTTGGAACTGCTGTGATTGCTTTTCCAGTGAAATGAAGCATGCTACCCCCAAGTTATGCCATCTGGGGCCCCAGCTCTGAAAGCTTTGAATCAACTCATTCACAAAGTGCAGCAATTGGAAATCATGACGCCTTTGGTTTCCTGAACTTGTTGAGCTAAAACTGAAAGCATAAAGGTTGGCTGAAGTCAAATGGAATCTTAGACTAAAGTCTGATTATTCCACATGTGGCATTTTAAACCTCCCTTAGAAGGAAAAGTCTGTTTGCTTGCTTGTTTGTTTGTTTTTTCAGATCAAGCACAGCATGCATCTGATCATTGACTACTGAATGTTAGAACATCACTAAGAGTACATTTCTAATTTCTCATGGCACAATTAGTAAGAATTTGAGGTGATAGATATGCTAATTAGCTTAGTTTGATCATTTTACATGGCACTACAAAATCACATTATTGTTTCCTATGTCCTAAGTATAACTCACCAAAGTTTGCCAATATATGATGATGAGAAACAAATAAAAAAGATAATATATAATGGAACACATTAGTACTGAGGCATTTCAATTCATTGGCTGAGGCTTAATCTTAGAAATACCAGTGTTCCCATGGGGCATAATTCAATAGTTACTGGTACAGATCCATATTATCTGTATGGTGCTCTTGTAGTACCTGCGTGAGATTAATACTAATCCAGTGATTATGTCTTGGAAGGTAAGATTCAGAGAGCATGCTCGGATGGTTAGCTGCGAGTTGAGACACCAGGAAGAATGAAGCAGGGTTTTGTATTGGTTTTGTATTTCTTTCCTGCCTTGGAGAGAAGTGACTGACATTTAGACCTCAGACTTGCCTTCCGGAGTCATTCACTGCACAGTGAGGACCTGCTGGTCTTCCAGTGTCGTGCTGGGGGACGAGTGTCCTGGTAACTCAGACAGAAGAGATGATGGCCAAAGCTGTGGCTGGAGAGACCACCCACGCTGATATTGGTAAAGAAAGGGCTATTTATTTAGGAAAGATCGCCATCGAATCACTAGACAGGAGAAAGTTGAGAAAACAGACCCTTATGACCACAAGGGGAAATCACTGTGATTGGCTGATTCTCTACGCACCCGAGTGTTTAGCAGGGCCTTCTCAAACATTTCCCCCTTGCTAAGCAACTACAATTGCAGATGAACCACTGCCGGTGTTGTTATAACTCTTTCTCCCCTTTTCTGAATGGCGCTCAGGCCAGAGTCTCTGATGTTCTGAAGGTACGCAACTTAGTGCTACATTCTCTAGGTGGGAATGTGGGTCATCTGTCTGTTTATGGCAGGCAATGCTGTGCGATTTGATCTCATCTGAGCTGATGAAGACATCCTCCTGTTAAAGAGAGTTCTGGAACCATTATTGCATCTGTCCAGCACCAGCAGCTCTCAGTACAGAGACCACACATGTGTTCTAATCTTATTTTATTTTATTTCCTGGTCTGACTGTGATTAGAGGTTCAAAGACAATTGTGAGTCTTCTGTGGTGATTCCCCTTTCCCCTTTTCTTTCTGGTACAGCGGCCTGGGAATTCTATGCACATACCTGGAGTCAGAGCAGCACTGGAGTTCTCTGACGTGGCTGTCCTTCCTTGATTTCTAGAAGGGTGAGACGTTTGTAGAGTGTTCTCAACCTCCCTTTTAAAGTATACTTTCTCAGGGGCTTGGAAATCTAAGTCTGAAGTAAAGCACTCCACATTCCCTTTAAAGGAAACAGCTTCCATGCTGGAGGCCAGCAGGGGGTGTACTCTCAGCAGCAGCAGCACACACACACACACACACACACACACACACACACACACACACACAGCTTCCATGCTGGAGGCCAGCAGGGGCCATACCCTCAGCAGCACACACACACACACACACACACACACACACACACACACACACAGCTTCCATGCTGGAGGCCAGCAGGGGCCATACCCTCAGCAGCACACACACACACACACACACACACACACACACACACACACACACAGAACTTCCATGCTGGAGGCCAGCAGAGGATGGGGGTGCACGCACACAGTAAAAGGAGTTTTTAAGAAAAGTTGCACATAGTGTAATTTTAATCCATTCCATTTTAAATACCACAATAAATTTAATTTTCACAATAAATTAAATAGCCATATTCAGTTTACAAAATAGAATTACTTAGTGTGAAACTGATATTTACATCATTTACAGTATGTACAGGACATTTCTCTTTGCTGACATACATGTGGAAGTGAAAGGACTGGACTCGCTGGCACGTGATTGACATGCTACAGATGACACCATGGTCCAAACAAGGAAACAAGAGTGCAAAATCACCACAGGAACTTTGGAACAACGTTGATTTTATGAGATAAGACATTCTTTTAAATAATAAGAAAATAGCATATTCTGTTTTCATGGCACCAATCCAATATCTGGATGAAAAAGCCAGCTTCTCCTTAGGATAAAACAAAAACAAAAACAAAACAGAAATGAAAAACCATAAAACTGAACCCTCTACTTCCTGAAGCTTCGTAGCCATTGGTACATTTTCACATATTCATCTTTTGGCTTAAACCTATGAAAATGGCAGGTGACATGTTCTGAGTCAAAGGAAGACTAACTCTTAAGAATATCTGGTCACTTTCCCCCAGTCCCACCACCTCTTCTCAGTTGTCAATAGCTTAAAAGATGCAACTATGCAGGCAGCAACTTAGTATTCATTTTTTTGTAAAGTTTCAGTAGAAAAAAATTGATCTTATATTTGGTCACACACTGCATATGTACAAGTATTCATGGAGAAATGAACTGGGGAGCTGTGTCTGGGAAAGTGCATATTTTAATTGAGAGGAGATGCCATGTGTCTCCGGGTACAACACATGGTGTTGTACAATATATTATTTTAGGGCCAGTTCAATGTCCTCCCAGTGATCTGGTAAAATTTTTGATTAAAAGGATGAAAGAATTTGCGCAATTTGGTAATGACGGAGGGGTCTACCTCTGGATGGATGCGCCCCTTGCTGCCCGCCAGGCACTTATTAAAGATAATGTTAAATCGCAAACAGTAAAACCCTCTGGTAGCATTGAAATATAAATTGTACTGACTTATCCTCGGAGGAAGGTTTAAAAACTTCTCCACGAGCTGTAGTTCAGGCAGAGGCTCGGTGATGAGGCGGTCTCCGTCCACGACGTGGAACTGTTCAATCGGAAAGTACTTGAGCCAGCGCTCTAGATGTTTTGTGTAGATGCTGGTCCTAACCGCTTTGTATTTCGTGTTCACCTCGCAGGTGTTAGGGTCTATGGCTAGCTTCTCGAACTTATAGTATGTTTTGTTCTTCCTTTCCTTCCCCTCTAGCACCTGAGTGTAATCAGAAATCGCTCGTGTGGTCGGCTCCCTGACAATGATCAACAGCTTGATGGATGAGTTCATTTTGTAAATCCTTTCTGGAACCTCTTCTGTGATGAAATAGGCCGGGCTCTTTTCAATTGTGATTTGCTGAGGGTAGGAAAAAGGCATCTTTTTCCTGTACCACTCAATGCCCTTAGCATAGTTCTCATCATTGTCGAAGAAGTGGATCTCTTGAGAAGCTTTGACCACTGCAGGATGGAGGTTCAGCATCTCTAGTAGGGCCCTAGTGCCCCCTTTCCGCACCCCAATGATAATGGCTTTGGGGAGCTGCTGTACCAGGTCATGGAGGTGAACCTGCTCCTTGGAAGTGTTGCCTTTCCGGAACTCATGCAGCAGACCTCTCTTAAACTGCAGAGCTCTGAGTGGGAACTCAGCCTGACTGTGGGCGCCACCAAATCGGCTTTCAACAGGGCAAATGGGCTGGAGCCTGTAAGAAAAGAGAGACGTTGTAAAAAACTCATTGCCACTTAACTTACTGTTCTGCATCTGCACCCAAACTCAGAGTCTACATGCATAAATAAAGCCACTGGGTCCCAGGCTGCTGCAATCCATAATGAACATATGTTTGGGAAATTTTATGTTAAGCAACCCTGTATTCAGTGGAGCACACATAATTGATGGGATTTTTTTTATTAGTGCTCCTTAAAATTTTTATTCACCAAGCACTTAATTGACTACGGCGTGTACTTATGCTCACAGTACAGGATAGACAAGTGACACCCGCCATACTAATAGCTTTTTAACAGCTCACCAGTTAAAATCATTTAGAAAATCGGGAAGGCAGAAGATTATAATCTTCAGCTAGGGTGCTGAAGGGCAAAGAGGAGACCATTTATTTCAGGCATTGTATGGTATTGCTTCTTCCTTTTTTTTCTTCTCCTTTGGCAGCTTAGCACCATTCACATGGCACTTTAGCATTCTTGAGATATAATCTGAGATGGGAGCTCCAATCTCTGCCCTTGGCTCTTTGAATCACCATCATGCAGAACTCCAGTCTTGGTCCTTGCTGAACTTTTTATTCTTTGAGAATTTCTGCCCTGTGGCCTTGGGGGACAGGTGGAGGAGTGCTTTGCTTTCCATTTCTATCTAAAAAGGTCAAGAGTATGTTTTCATTTTGCTGATTTTAGGAACAATCCCAAGCATCAATGTTCTGTGTATGACCCACCACTCCTGCGACCCAAAATCTAAAAGAAAGACTTCGATGGGGCCAGAAATCCCAGATTCTCATCATCATACAATTTAAGTCAGGAACTAGAGTTTATAAGATAAGGAATGCAATGGACAGAGCCAGGAAGGATGGACAACTATTTATACTTTTCTGAGAGAGAAAGATATGGTAATAGCCACAATGATATCAGAACAGAATGACTACTTTAACATGGCCTCTGTATATAGATAGAAAATTGTGTTACCTTTGTACATAATCTGATGATAAACCGAAAAAAATTCACTGTAATTAATGAGTCAACTAGGTTGACTTAGGAAGTCCTTTCAGGTTTCTTGGCCAAAGTGGATAATACTAATCAAAATGGCTATTAAATGATTCCTTCCAGATGAAATTTTCCAGTGACTCCAGCAACTTGGAGTTTCTCCCCTTCTCTGTGGCAATGAGACAGTCTCTTGCTTCCCCAAGAGGTTCCATTGCATCTTCCAGCCATGCTCAACTGATTGTGTTGAAGTTAGGGAAATGGTGTTGGATTTGCTCTGTTTATCTAGGTCTCTATCACAGTCTTTATTAATTTTTGTAATATTTATTCTGTGATTCTTGAAATAACTCACACTCATTTCAGAAAGTCAAAAACAATGGAAATCTATTGTAAAAATAGGGCTTACCACTGTTTTGGTTAGTGTTCATTTTGCTGTGATAAAACACCCATGGACAAAGACAAACTTGGGGAAGAAAGGATTTACTTCAGCTTACAGTCCCATATCACAATCCATTGTGGAAAGAAATCAGGGGTGGGAGCCCAAGGCAGGACCTTGGAGGCAGGAACTAAAGCAGAAGCCTTGGCGGAAAGCAACTTACTGACTTGCACTCATGGCTTGCTCAGTCTGCTTTCTTAGGACCAGCTGCCCAGGGGTGGCACTGTCCACAATGGGCTGGGTCCTCCACATCAATCATCAATCAAGAAATCGCCCCACAGGCTTGCCTACTGGCCAATCTGATGGAGGCATTTTCTCAGTTGAGAGTCCCTCTTCCCAACGGAGTCTAGCTTGTGTCAAGTTGACAAAACAAAAGAAAGCAAATGAACCAGGACATTTAGGAGAGTGTGAATTGATAAATTTATTGGGATTATTATGCTAGGGTTCTAATTGGATGTTACAAAGTTGTCAAGAGATACCTAGATAAAAGTGTTTTTGATTGCAGCACCTATGAGGATATTATAAATTAGCCTTTTTGCCCTACTTGGGTTTAGTCTTTGGAGCTAGCCCTAATTCACTGAGGTATCCATTGACAGACTTGTCTCCTAGGCATGTAGAATGGTTCTAGTACTGTTTCTGTGAGCACTGCAGCAATGTCTCTCAACTGTTTTTCTGTAAGACTTCATTCTCTCGCCCAACCCTGGGTGAAAATGTCGACAAGGGCATCTCTAGGAGCGACTGTGCCGGGATGGAATTCCCTCTGTCTGGAAAGGGCCACCTTCCTTCTGAACTTCCTCCTTCTCTCTATTTCCTACCCCAGAAGATTAAACTCTACAGGACAATTGCTTTGTGGACTTCCCAAGTCAAGAGAACATGTAATGCTAGGAGAAAATGTCCCACTCCCCTGCTCCCTGAAGAGAAGTTCTAAGACTGCCAGACCCAAAACAGAATTTTAACATTGGAAGAGACAAGGGAACTAACCTCAGCCTTCCACCCAGAAAGCAGTCTCCAGTTACCAAGGGTAAGCCGAAAGAAGCACGTGTCGTCTACAGACATAGTCTGTTCAAATCTTAAGCAAGGGATTGTGAGAAAGGCCACCAAATGATGGAATTTCTTATACAAGCCATCCCACCAATGAACTGAGAACACTAGAGATGGGAACTGCTATCAACTGATTGATAACTGTGTCCATAACTATAAGACCATTTGTTCAATAAAATGTCAATGACTGGCAACTAAAGGTGTTGGGAAGACTTCATATGAAAGTTCTGTTACTGACATAGGTCAAATGTTGTTACCTCAAGGCTTTTCACTATTAAATGGCATGTCAAGAATAAACATTGGAATGTCAGCACTGAGTGATAAGCTCTCAGCTACGCCAGTCACAGTTACAAAGTGGGAGGAATTTTAAACTGAGAAACATCAAAGGGGGATTAATGTTTACCAGTTCAGGTGGACAACGGCAGAAGCAAAGCAAAGGCCATTGCTGTCTTGTAAAACATCGGAATGATAGGATACTGAGAAGAAAACGGACGCAATTTTCACTTCAAAATGTGGAGGCATTTTCATTGACTTTGGGAACTGAATCCAGTCTGTCACCACAGGAATTAGTTTAAAAATAGCAGCTCCTTATTTCAGAAATTAAGTCCTCAGTACTTACCGGTCACCCCGACTATGGAACCATTAAGGTACATCTTAGGGACACTCAACTGTCATGATGGGGACTCTAGCAGGCCCGGCACCTCTCAACAGTTTGTCTATTAAAAGCCAAACCCCAATTCTGTAATTTCCTCTTCATAGATTTTCCAGGGCCTTCTGGGCAATCATTCTGTATGACAGCATCCTTGTCGGGTACCCGAAAGCCAGAGCTAATTAACAGAGTTAAAAATCCATGCCCGTAGCCATCTTTCCAGGGCAGGGGACTGCAAACTTGATGAGCTTCTTTACTGGTGCATACATAATTGTCCACTCATCAATTTCAAAATGAAGAGACATAGTCCTATCTCCACCGCGCCTTAATGGCTGAAGGTCAGCACCAGATACACACAGGCCACATTGGGTTCTAGTCAATGATAACATTATTTATTTATTTATTTATTTAATTTTATTTTTATATATATTTATATTTTTTTATTTATTTTTAAGTACTCAGCTTTATGCCTTCTCTGAGAACAAGTGTCAGTGCTCACAGAACACAGATGGATTTGGATGAAGCATCTTGATTTGCGCTGCATGGAACTTGTACCTTTGAGGTCTTAATGAGTCAAAATCAACAGCACAGCAAAGTGTGTTTCTTCAAAGTCTTGAGGGACAAAAAACAAATGGATCAACTTAAAGTTATAGCCCAAGGAAGTCCACATCAGGGGATATGTAAGATTACATGAGCAGAGCGTAGATTTAACCACCTACCTATCCAAGCTCCCAACTCTGGCAACTAGATACAGCAGGCTCCCAACGGCAAGGCTTCCCAGCACCAGGAGCTTCTGTCTCAGCCACACCTGCTGTTTGAATAGCATGGCCCTCCATCAACCTTCAGGACTGCCACGGCCTGAGAGCAGAGAGAAGGCGCCTGTCAGCAGTTGTCATAACACCAGCCAGAGGTGGAGACAGGGGATTAAGCATCAAAGAGATCGCACACCAACACTGGCAGGTTTCACAGTGTAACTGATTTTAGCAAAACTTACCTTTTTTTTTTTTTTTTTTTTTTTAAAAACCTGGCCCATGCTATATGATCAACTATTAATTCTGTGGGAGAATTATGCAGATTTGGTTAGTCTTCAAGAATTTCTGAAGCACATAAAAATTCATACACACACACACACACATATATATGTATATATATATACAGACAGACAGAGTGTAAGTCATCCAAAGAATATTGAAAAAATGAGCAGCCTGAGGCTTTATCAGTAAGGCAACAAATTGATAAACTGCAGTTAGAATAACAGGATGAATGCTGAACTTCTGGCTTAGTAAATGGTCATTTTGGGCATAACAGTAGCGTCCTTAGCTTATACCTTTTTGCTTGGCTTTGGTTATGAACAGAGCAAAAGGGCGGGATTCAAAGTGACTGCTTCCTGTGTTCCTGTGTGGTGAGTGTCCAGCCTGCCTGTGTTTGAAGACACTGGCTCCAAGGAGCTTTCTGATTGCCTTCCTGTCTCCTCCCAGTCCAGGATGCCAGAAACACACTTTGACTAAGTGGTCCTACTGTGTGGCCTCCCAAAGCTCCCAGGGGAATGGAATAGGTTGGGTTGCATTAGGCTTGCTTTTACCTCACCAAAGAAGTTTACCTGGAAGATTTGTCTTTTTATACATGAGAAGTGTAGTGTAATAAGGCTTTACTTGTGCCGTTATTACATTCTGTGTGTGTGTGTGTGTGTGTGTGTGTGTGTGTGTGTGTGTGTGTGTGTGTCTATATATAAAAGCTTCCAATTCAGATTTCTTATTGAAAATAAATCCAATCCCCTTTCAAGATAAGATTTTTTGCTTCTTATTGAAACTGAAAATAGTAACCTGAGAAGATGGAAGGAGAGCTCTGGCTGGAAAAGATCCCTTTGCAAAGGTATCTTCACCGTCTGTTACGTGAAGATTCCTGCCATGCAGAAGGGGAAGGCTGGGGTTGTCAGGCTGACCTCTACTTTCATTTATCAAGAGACTGCTGAGTGCCAATAGCATTTTCTACTATTAGAGTAGGTACACAGAGATTTCAAAAATGTTCCAAAAGAGTTTCAGTCCTTGGGCAACTGATCATGTGATTAGAGAATCCTGGAATGACCAGAGAACACCACCCATGTCTCAATAATGTGTGAATAAATGTTGGGGAAGGAAATTTAAGGAAATTCCACAGAGAATGTGGGCTCTATAAACATTGTTTTTATTTACCAAGGAGACTGTAGGAATTCATCCAAAGGAAGGCCATAAGAGCAGATAGAGGAGCATACCCATGTACTTGGCTCTGTGCTGGATGCTACAGAGAATCATGAGCAATTAAACAGACACAATCCTTGCTCACTCGGGATCTATACTCTAGTGTAAAAGTCACATGGTAAGTCAACACACCTACATAGGATTAAAAGATACTCGCAAATTATGTTAAATGTTACAGAGGAAAATTATAGGAGAAAAGAAGTAGCAAGGAGTTTATGTTCTTCCTGCAGGAGGGAGAGTTGAGTGACACACTGAGGAGGAGAGCAAGGAGGCAGGAGGCAAGGTGGGTGAGAGGTGGAAGAGCCATCGTGCATGGGAGCTGGGGTACGAAGTGCTTGGCTCCTGTGAAAGGGGAGGGAGGTGAGGCTGAGCACAGGGGTTAAGGAGGGGAAGGAGAAGGGTGTCTGTTGGGGAATGAAGGGGTGCACTTGTGGTGTTGATTTATCAGTGCTTGCCTTGTAGGCATAGAGAAGAGAAAGAGGACAAAAGGAGGTTTACTGAGGTGGTAAGCGTATTGTCAAGATGCTATTTCAGGAAATCCCAAAGAATGAAAAAACCTGTGAAGTAGATGGAGTTTCACAGACAGGTAAAGGGAAGCCACAGTTTTGTCTCACTTCCTCTGGCTACAAAACTGCCAGGTATCAGGAAAGCAGAGGCAGTACCCACAGCATGTGATTCAGAACTTCCTGAAAGAACGACCAGCCTCTCTCTGGGATGATTCCCAAGTGCCTCAGAGGCACAGCCTCAAGCACAGAGCTTCAGCCCATGCTCAAATGTGAACACTGCTTGCTGCAAGATAGATGCACAGCCAGGTGAGAACTAGCAATGCGGTCCTGAGGTTAGAATCTCTGGTGCTATGGGATGTCTTTCTGTACGCTGTGAATATGTGTTGCTCCAAATGATTAATAAATAAAGCTGCACTGGCCTATGGCAGGGCAGGATGGAGCCAGGTGGGAAAATTCAAGAGAGATAGTGAGAGGAGAAAGGAGAGTGGGAGGAGACGCCAACCCACCATCCAAGGAGCAACGTGTAATAGGACACAGGTAAGGCCACAGAACACATGGTGATACATAGATTAATAATAATGAGTTAAGTTATACGAGCTAGCTTGGAAGAAGCCTGAGCCATAGGCCATACAATTTGTAATTAATATTAAGCCTCTGAGTGATTATTTTATAAATGGTTGCGGGATCACGGGGGCCAGGTTCTACAGGAGAAACTTCTGGCTACAAACTGGAATTTTCTTTCCTTAGCCACAAGACAGAATGGCTTGTGACCTCCCCACATGCTATAGTTTGAATGAGAAATGTCCTCCATAGGCACAAGCATCTGGATACTTGGTCCTCAGCTGGTGGCAGTGTTTGGGACAGTTATGGAACATGTATGAGGTGGAGCATTGCTGGAGGAAATATGTCACTCTGGCTTTGGGTTTGTATGGCCTGGCTCCACTAAGTTGCCATGTTATCCCCACCTTGGTGGTCTCTATCCCTCTGAAATGGTAAGCCAAAATAAATCCCCTTTTCCCCTAAGTTGCTTTTGGGCAACTGACTTTTATCACAGCAACAGAAAAGTAAGGAAAGCATCATGCCGTAGTAAGAAGGAAGTAAGGGTTCTCTAAGTAGCAACACCCCTCCAAAGCTTATTGGATTTCCTCACTAAAGGATATCACATCCTTTGTGCTTTAGTGTGAATGAATTATATGCGCATTCACTGAGAAACAGTGCGAGCGGAGGGCAGCTGTTAATGGGACTGATGGGAAAAGTCCCATGGCCTCAGTGGGAGTCACCAGCCTTCTACAGAGGACCAAAAGAGCAGGCTGTGGAAGTAGTTTGGCTCTCCCAGGTATTTATACATGGTACTCACACCATCCTACTCCAAAGTGTATGACGTAATGCTTCATCTACTGTCACAGCTCCTCACTCCACCTGTCTGTCTTCAAGTCCACTCCTTCTAACCTTTAAAATTCAGGATACATCCTGGATCCTCCAGGAAGCATTCTCCAGTGGAAGCTCCTGCCCAGGGCCCTCCTTGAGCAACACTGATCTCTCCTCCCTGCACTCAAACCACACAGACATCTCACTGTTCTTAAATATTTGACTGTTGTTAACCATTGCCTTCTCTGGGTTTTACCACCATGTCTCAGCAATGGGCTAAGCCAACTGGTGGAATTTACGATCATTGGAAAGTTAACTGAAAGAACTTGAGCCTGATTCAGTCTGTTTTGCTGTCTGGGCATGACAGAGACACCTCAGAGACACACCCAACCCCATCCTCAGAGGCGCCAGGCCGATGGGTCTGCACGTTTGCATTTGCGATTCCAGGTGAGAAAATCACCTCACGTAATGTTGCTTTCTACTGCCGTGTCTGGCCACCCTTGCCAGTGAATTTCTTCTTGACTTGTTCTGTCCAGGCACCCGGCCATCCTCACACACCTGCATTATTTTCCAACACATAGGTGTGTTCTCTGTACTCTTTTCCTACGGGATTGCAGAGCCCAGTTAACCTTCCTAATTTAAGCTGTTTTGTCCCTGCCCTGTTTGAGGGTTGTTTACTGGACCAAGTCCAGTAGCCCAGGCCTTTCTTCCCAAGGGCTGTGTGGTGGCCAGCATCATTCCCTTCCGTGAGTTGTCTACACTCTCCTGTGTGCCCACTCAGTCACTTGCTTATTTATCTCCATCCCTTTTAGCTCGATGCTCCTGTTAGTGTCCTCACTGGCCTGGGGTATCTTTCCTATGTCTCTTCTTTCAGCATTCCCAAGTCCCATGGATTGTTTTTAGAAGGGGTGATCATGAGGGAAGTATTTCAACACAGTTCCCACCAGTTGGTAGGAATGGATGTGGTCCACTATGTTGGCAATTAGAGGGCCAAAGGGGAATCTCTAGGCCTGGGAGTAGAGCTTGGAAAGTATTTGCTCATGTGGGTGAGTGAGGTTCTGAAATGAACTCATGGTTGGACTCGGCTTAAGAATGGCAAGGAAGGAAAAGAATGAAAAGTGAGAGAGAATGTGAAGGCTGCTGAGGAGGTGGTCCAGGTCTTAGGGACTATAACATATTACATTTACTACTTGCCTGTAGGAAGGCTTATGCAAGCCTGTATGCATTAGGCTGTTAAGCCTGACTGACTCTGAGGTTATTTTTTCTATGACCCCTGAGGATCTTTCAATCTCACCCTGGTCCCAAGCACCTCACCTCCAGACTCTGACCTCTGGACAAGCCCACATGTTATCATTTGGATTTTTCTCTGTGGGGTGTGCTGATACTCCCAATAGATGTACCAGTTCAGCATCCCTGTGTACAAGATGCCTTAAACGCGTCTGCTAGGATTTTCTCTAGGCTTCTGTTTGAAGAGCTGATCCACTCATACTGATTCCTCTCACGCTATATCTGGCCCATCACACCATTCAAACACCTTCGCGTCTGCTGTGCCGGTGAGGGTGTCTGAATATGACATCTCAGCTGCTGTGAGAGCTGCCAGTGACGCAGTTGCAGACACCACAGTCCCGGCGCCAGCAGCACTTGTGAACGTCTTGCTTTAGTTTTGTCGTGGGAACCTTCTGAATTTCGTTTTCCTCACCTGTAGAGTGAAGATGATTGTGTCTGTCTCACAGGGTTGTCAGGACAT